TCCTCCCTGGACTGACCTATCCCCTCCCTAACTCCCCACCTACACTCACCTTTACTGGCCCCATCCCCGCCTCTTCGACCTGTTTGTTTCCTCTCCACCTATCCTCTCCTCTATCCATCTTCTATCCGCCTCCCACTCTCTCCCTATTTATTTCAGAACCCCCTTCCCCTCCCCCTTTTCTGATGAAGGGTCTAGGCCCGAAACGTCAGCCTCTCTGCTCCTATGATGCTGCCTGACCTGCTGTGTTCATCCAGCCCTGCACCTTGTTATCTCGGATTCACCAGCATCTGCAGTTCCTACTATCTCTATTGAGTGGTGGCTTGCCACAGTCCTTTTAGAGTTCATTGACTAGATCACAAGCAGATTTGATTCGCCTGTCTGTAGTATGATCAGGTGTACATTTAGGTGAATGAATATTTAACAGACTTTATTGAACATAGCTATTTGCAAAGGATGTTATGAGAGGGCTTCAGTGATTCCTTCTGCTATCTGTATGTAACAAAAATGAGATAGGTTTTTTTTTATTCATTCACAGAATGAGGGAGCCGCTGGATGGCCAGCATTTATTGCCCATCCCTCATTGTCCAGAGAGCAGTTATGAGTCAACCACATTGTTGAGGGTCTGGAGTCACATGTAGGCCAGACCAGATAAGGATGGCAGATTTCCTTCCCTAAAGGACATTAGTAAACCAGATGGGTTTTTCCTGACAATCAGCAATGGATTCATGGTCATCATTAGACTCTTCATTCCAGATATTTATTAAATTCAAATTCCACCATGTGCTGTGGCAGGATTCAAACCCAGGTCCTCAGAACATTACCTGGTCTCTGGATTAACAGTTCAGCGATAATACCACATGGCCATTGCATCCCCTCTTTATACACATGTTCAGTAGCTATTCTTAGCAATTCTTCACTTTGCTCCACTGACTGCACCAAGCCCTTTGCCAGCTGCAATAGGACAACTCAGTTTGGGTGGGCCTCAACCTTGTATTAGACTCTTTACTTTTATATACAAATAATCTAACGCCTATTTCATGGAGGAAGCTCTCAATACTTTTATATCATGCATTAAAATCTGGCAGAAAATTCACTTCCAGTTTGTAATATCCATCATATAGGAAGCCTAAGCATATGCTGAGAGATTTTAAATATAGCCACAGTATCATCAAGTTTTAAGAAAAAGTTACGGGGTAACCTTTAAAGTCCAAAATCCAATGAGGGTTTGGGTGGACCAACAGTGGATTTCTCCATTGGTAACAAAGGATGGAGGTGAAGCCAAGTTCCACTGAAATTCTACTCTATGCTTTCCATTCTATGATTTTCTGTGGGAGGAAGAACCAAAAGTGACATTTCCTCTCTACCATCTCAAGGGAACATTTCTGGGCCACACCAGTATTTCTGCTTTTTACACCCTCTGCACATCTTGGTGGAATTTTCACTACTTTAATTAGAAACAATGTTCAACTCTAAAGGAACTAGTTATCTTCCACAACAGGCTTGTTTGCTCAGTTGGGTACAGAAGTACAAGTTGTTTTCAGCTCCTTGTAGGATTTCCTCTCCATTGTGGTCTTGAGTGGACGTGTTGATGCAACTAGCAAGTTAGAGTGCTGATCCTGGTAATGGTAATCTAACGATCTTGTCGCCATGATTTCAAGTAAGGCTTTAGGAAGGAGCTCGGATGTAATGGTAACTTGGGGTCCAGTTCGAAGTGTTTTAGGCACTGGGCAACTAATTACTGTTCTACTTTGTTTTATTAGCTTCTATAACTTTCCATCAGTTATTATTTGAGTGTAGATATTCAGCATTTACAATCTAAACTATAATCTGACTTCATTTAAATAATATTCTTGTGTCAATTTTAAATAGTCTCCACAATATCTTACATTTCTTTGAGGCACTTTTTTTCTTAAAGAAACAATGCAGAGCATTTTAAAAAAGGTTGGAAATTAAATGGTGACTGTCAATCAGTTCCTGTATGTTCGTGGACCCCACTGCATCTAAGTTCTGTCATCCACAAGGAGAGTTTCCTCCTCCCAGTATCTTCATCCTTCTCCTGCTCTTGTTCTCCCAGTTTCTCAGCATCACCTTGTTGTCTGCTCCAATTGTACAGAACACAGTACACCAGGATGGTGCAACACACTCTATGCAGAAAACTCTGGAGATCCTCCTCACAATGCCCCAAGCTACAGAACCAGACTTTCAGCAGCCCTATTGTATGCCCCATCACATCTTTGGACACAGCAGATGCAATCTGCCTTTGGCTGGGATTTGATGCATAAGCACATTCAATCTGCGTGCCTCTTATATATGCGAAGATATGTTTGCAAGTGAAATGTAGCTGGAGTTTGCAAACCCATGCTTCATGCATTTGCCGCATCAATCTCTTAATGGCCATTAGACATCAATCCTATGCTTTCACCCATCAAGGTGACATTGACTCTACCCACTCCAGCATTGTCAAAATTAGTTTTCAGTTGCATTGTTCACGTAAAGAGTATTGACAGGGAATACAGCTTACAGCGGAGACCATCAATATGGTCTCTGTCTGGTCACCAGATATCTTCTCTGTACAACCATCTCCCATCGCCCCTACCTCGAGCCTCCATGCTCCCTGAGGGAAAGGGGGAAGGAAACTTTACAGTAATACTACAAAATACTAGGCTGGGAAGGATAGAGGGGAAGGGAGTAGTTACACTTCAAAATGGGCATGGCTGTTATCATGAGGCAAAGCTACAGCAGAGGGAGCAAGGGTGGAAAAGTAAATTCATACCGAGGTTGCAGTATCAGTAAATGCATGGAGTTCATTTAAAGGCACAAAAAAGGCAAAATGGAAACCCTACCATCAGCAACTTCCCTAACAAGCCACACAATATCCAGATGTGGATGTATATCACTGTTACTTTAGCTGGATCAAATCCTGGAACAAGTGTTCCATTCTGGACAGCACTGCAGGTGTATCTGCACCATACAGGCTGCATATTGAAGGCATTTCACCACCACAATCTCAAGATCAATTAGGGATAGGCAACAAATGCTGCCCACATGACACAAAAATCATTAAAGTAATTTTGAGCAAGAGGAACAGTGGTTACTGGTTGAGCTTATCGGTTGGAAAAAAATTGCAGAGAAAATAGACTAAGGCTATGATATGAAAATGAGGAAGGGAATTTCTAAATCTATCCAGCAAAGAAACAAATACAACACAATATTGATTCAGAGATAGTAGGAACTGCCGATGCTGGAGAATCTGAATTAACAAGATGTAGAGCTGGATGAACACAGCAGGCCAAGCAGTACCAGAGGAGCAGGAAGGCTGACGTTTCGGGTCTGGAACAAGAAGGGGTCAGCTTTCCTGCTCCTCTGATGCTGCTTGGCCTGCTGTGTTCATCCAGCTCTGCACCTTGTTATCTCTACACCACATTATTGATTTTGTTACTTCAGGTGTTTTCATGCACAGCGACTGTTATTAACTTACCCCATTTAGCACAAGGATACAAACTGAATATATCATTCCAATTGTTGCAATGACTGTCAAGCATAACAGGAATCGAAAGGCATCTTGGTACAGTTTGAAGTCCATTGGTTTTGGGTACAGAATGGATCTCACTAACTCTCCCTTGGTAGTAGTAAAACCTGCAGCAACACAATTTCATTGGTATTAAGAAAGAGAAATTATTAAGGCCATTAAAGGTGTAATGATTGATTAAATTATTACAGAGTTCTTCTTTACAGCAACAGTTTTGTGAGCGATGAAGCAAATATTTTCTAATCTGATATGCACAGATTGCTATTGGGTTAGGAAATTGTTACTCCCGTCATTAACACAGATGCTATATGTATTGCAGACAGCAAACTGTTCTTAGTTCTGATGAATAAGCTTTTGTACGAGCAGATTAAAAAATCCATCTTCTTCCAGACCTTGATAGTGATAATTTTAAAACTATTAGGAACTCAAACACAGTGTGTTCCCAATTATAATTCCTTCTGTTCAATGACGAAGAATCAATACTTTTGTATGTCATGTTCCTTCCCAGTAATATAGCTGAACTCATTGTTGAAAATTGAGGAATCAAATTCTTCTATCTCAACATTTGTTGTGGCATCAATACCTCTGGTGTCTAATCTTGGAAACACATGTTGGCAGACAGAGTTATATCTCCACATATACCACTCAGGTGTTAACCATCATGTTCATGGAACACAGGGAGGATGATCAGCCTGGTAGGATCGTATGCAAGGAATAAAACCCAGTTATTTTTCCTTCTATTGATTCCTTTCTACATTCTGCACAGGTGATGATTATACATAAACAGTAAAAACAAAAAAGATAATTCTCCTGAAATGAAGTGCAGCAGTTGAAGAAGTTTGCATTCTGCAGCATACATGGAAAAATTTACGTTCCAAATAATTAATATTTTTCTCTCATTGGAGACAGACCTGTTCGATAGACAACAGCTTTTACTTCACCCTCGCTTGTTGCTTTTGACTGAATGACTTGAGTCCCACAGAACAGAATGTGACGTTTGTAATCTTCAGTTGAGCTCTTCCAACAGCTAGGGTTAACTACACTTGGCAATGGTGCCTTTGTTACAGGAATACTTTCACCTTGTATAGTAAAAACAAATAAAAGCTAAGTCAACACAGTTACGGTCAGTTAACAGTAAGTAATTGCAGAAGCATAGGATTCTGTATACCCTAAACACACAATGAAGCAAGAAAGCATTAAAAATGTGGATAGATTTTCTCTTTCTGGCATTATCCAAAAGTCAAGTGTCCGGGATTTTCCAATTGAGTCTTTATGCAAGGCAGGCTCCTGAAATAATTTTTTTTGCCAGGTGGGAGTGCACCCCAGGCTGTGGTAATGGTGGATAGTGAGGGCTGGTTGGTGAGGAGTCAAGGGGCTGGATATTGGGGGTGAGAGGATTTGGGGGGCTGGGTATTGGGGGGGGGAGGGGATTTGGGGGCTGGGTATTAGGGGAGGGGAATGGGGGTTGTGTGCTGAAGAGGACGAAAGACATTATGCTGCATCAGACCTGAAAGTGCTATAGTCTGCAATTAAAGGTATGGCCACATGCAATAAAGTAGACAGCTAATGTCTTAGGAAAGGAACCCCTCATCCCTAAATGATGTCATCTGCAAGTGACTCCAGATCGACAATATGTGGTTGATTCAAGAAAACTTGAGATGGTCAAGGGCAAAAAGAATGAAAATTCTCTAATACGAGAAAGAAACTTAAAACTATACTGAACCAAATCCATTTCAACATCCACACCATAAATGAGAGGTTCCTGTCTATCTACTCTGCTTGCTAGTAGAGTCCTCTCACTTGTGAGATTACTCAGGAGATAACTCACTTCTCCAAGTTTCATTCTTCTAATTTCTCTTGTTTCCCATGGAGTAAAGAACACAAGAACATAAGTAAGAGGAATAGAAATAAACTATAAAAATCCTTCAGAATCTTCTACCATTCAATGTGATCACAGCTGATCGTCTGCCTGATCAGCACTTTACTACACACTTCCCATGTCCCTTGATTCTCTAGATCAATCTATCTTACAGAAAAGATGCTTAATTCACAGAAAAATGAATTTTCTCTCTCAGTTAGGTCACTGTTTGGCCTACCCAAATATCTAAATGTGCGCAGGTTAGGTGGATTGGCCATGGTAAATTGTCCTTGGTGTTGAGGGATGTGCGGCTAGGTGGGTTAGCCATAGGAAATGTGAGGTTATGGAGATAGGGTGGGGGTCTCAGTCTGAGTGGGATGCTCTTCGGAGAGTTGGTGTGGACTCAATGGGCCCAAAGTCCTCTTTCCGCACTGTAGGGTTTCTATGATTCTTCCCTGCAAAGCACTTATTCTGTGAGTGAATTTAAAAAAAAGATAATCAAGGACAGTTGTTCTCAATGTCTTCTCCATTCACAATCTATATGCAACTGCCAAACAAGTTTTTTTGAATTGCCATTTTCCTGAGAACAAGGTAAGATCTCATATGCAGGTGAAAAAGAGAGATTCTTACCTGTAAGCATGCTCTCATTGACAATGCAGCCCCCATGGATCAGTATGGCATCACAGGACAATACTTGTTTATTTCCTGTTACTAAGAGTACATCACCAGGCACCAGTTCACTCGATGGCACTTTCTCATATCCTACAAATATAAACCATAACCTGTAATGCTGCTGGCATTTTGAAATTGGAACACTCAGAACTAAAAAGGGGCTACATGCCATACAAAATCATAATTCACAGACCACTCTGTGGAAGCAGACAGTATGATTGTGACACTGTGCACCAAACCAGTTTCTCTATGCTCATTTTCACGTGCCTTTAGCTTAAAATAAATAGAAGACCGGGCTTACATTGCAGCAATTAATATAGTTCAAAGCTTAACCTAAAGATTTCATTTTGCCTCCCTCATAAAATCAAAGGAAAAATACAAACCTTCACTTTTGATGGGTGTGCTTAGATGTGAGAATACAAATCAGGAAATTGCAACTTTACTCCCCATGAGTTTTAGTCCATTATCTTTTTCTTGAATTTCTCTTCTTCATTGTGTGCGCATATGTGCATGTGTATATGTGTGTGTTTGTGCATGCGTGTGTTTGTGTGTGTGTGCGTTTGTCTGTGCATGTGTATGCATGTGAGTGTGTGTATGTGTGCGTGTGTAAGGTTCTAGAAGAGCTTAAAATGCTATCTGGGTTGCTTATCAATATGAGACCAGAATTTACATTCATTAACAAGACACTAGGCAGACTCCAGAACCTCTTCTGCTAATAAGTACATAAGAGATAACATTGCAGTTTGTGAGGAGAGCGAAAAATGAAACTATTAGTCTGGATTTTCCAGTGAGCTTCAGTATTCTGACATCAGAATCAAACTGGGGAAGGATGGGTTCTGCACCTCAGGCTCCGATAGCTCCTCACCCTGTATGCAATCTTGATTGAGCCAGCAGCTTCTGCAAAGGGTTGGTGTGTGGCCTCTCCATCACCCCAAGCCTACTACCATGTGGCTGGGAACATCTGCCCAATCTGCCAAGTGATTTTCAATTATCAATGGGGTAAAGTAGCATGTATTATTATTTTAGGTGCTATGACAATCAAAATAAATTGTATTGACCTTTAATGAATATAGGATTGTGAATTCATGATTTAGCTTCATATTTCCCAATTGACGAGAGGTTGAAATGTTCTTCAGTCATTCATTAGGAAAATTGCAAATGAGGTCGCCTGGGAATGTTTAAATGATAATATCCACGGTTATTGCATAATTCAGTATTAAGTTATTAAAACATTTGTCTTAATTTGTTTGAAATGCTTATAGGATAGTGTTGATGTTGAACTGGAGACAACATGCAACAAATTCCTATACCTGATTACAGAGATACAATTCCTTTCCTTTCTACGCTACCACAGTAAAAGGAAAGAATTCCTGGGACACAGCACTTAGTGAACTGGGATATAACACTGCCCTTTCTCTGCTGGTAGAAGTTTCAAGTCCCTTTTACCATAAGGCTGTAACAGTTCAAAATTGTCAGTTTCATCCAGTTAGTTGAGATTAGCTTGTTTGAAATTTCTGCCCATTAAATTACAATGATCCTGCAAAAATCAGAATGGTGTGGTTCAGGATACTGTTTGGGAGCTATTATTGAATATATTGCTGGCAAAATTTTTCAATGAAAAGAAACCAGTCATGAAGAAATTAAGGGAATGAGTGATGAATTGTGAAGCAAAACCAAACCATTCTGTGCGACATAGATTGCATGAAGGCATTTCTAATATAGCTCCAGCTATCAAGCAGAATATAGTTACAAAATCATAGCTTCAGCACTAAAAACTGCTCACCTCCACCTTTTCTGCAGATGGTGACCATCATGTTATTGTGAGATTCTACAAGTTTGTACAACTTTATCGATTGCTGCAAACAGTAAAGTAACAGAAGAATTTACTCTGCTTATTTGCCAATGGAATCAAATCCTTGCATTTCGTTTGTCAATTCTCAGCAGGTGAAATGTAAATTTAAGTGCAAATGAAACATATATCTTCTTGACACATTTCAAATGAAAGATTTAAAAATTTAGACATGGTTGGAATCAGAAAATAGACAATTTAATTGTTTACTGCATTGTAAACATTGATGAAGATAAGACTAGACAGACCTTTAAATGTAAACTCTGTTTTAGCACTCACCTGCCGCACATCATACACAGAAAAGGCAATGGAAATGAATGACATAATTATGAGCGCAACTGAATATTCTGTATAATCCTCAGAAAGCCACAAACACACACTAAATATTTGAAATGTATAAAATGGATTTAAAACCTGTGAAGAAAAGAAAGTCAAAATTAAAACGTTATGTATTCTACATTTAAAATGAGAAATGTGATTAAAAACCACGTAAAATAAAATTTACCTCCTTACAAAGTAGCTTCCAAATGGGAGAAATTCGGATGTCAATTATATTAGGTCCAAATATTAATCTCCTACATTTAAACATTATAGGGTTATTAGATAGAAGACAAATCTACATTTCATTGCCATTTAAAACTAAAGATTTTAGGAATGTACACAAACAACTACATTACTATAACTTTTTTTGTCTGTGAAACAAGGAATATAAATCTCAGCATATTGGACATAGATGCTCACAATGTGAAAAGATAAATATATCCAAAATTGGGACAAACATAAGTATAATCAGTAATTGCACCAAATGTAACTTTAGTCCTCTGCTGTCGCTAAAACATTTTGGCTTGCGCTCAACGGAAAACAAGAGAATGCCAAATTTCAAACAATGTCAACAATTTATGCTTCAGGATAAAAGGATGTAAGTTGGTTAACAAGACAATTCTGAATGACAGCGGCATTGCCATAGAGAAAAAAGATTATGGAAACATAGGCTACCCAAGATCCTGGGCTAACTCAAAAACATTCTTTTTGTTTGCGGAGAATGAATTCCTGGGTATGAATGTAAATCATTTCCAACAAGCTTAAAGAAGAAATATTACAAGCTTGACTGATTATCCTAAATTTGATGTTAGAGTAGCTATTAATGCACTCAGGACTGTTCTGAAAGTTCAGCCCAACTACAGAATCACAGCAGCAGATGTTCTGTTTTGGGTTTAGCAAGTTAGAGCCAGTTGAGTACAATCTTCCTATTCAGCACATTGCATTGAAACAATTAACATTGAATTTACTTCATCCATCGTTATTAGAGATATCACTGCCAAGATTTCAAAATTTAAGAAAAAAATACACCAAAGTTAGCTTTAAGCCTCATATCCAAGGGTCATGGACTCGAAATGTTAAGTCTGTTTGGCTTCTACAGATGCTGCCAGAGCTGCTGAGTTTCTCCAGCACTCCCTGCTTTTGTTTCAGATTTCCAGCATCCTCAGTTATTTGTTTTATTTCTATAAGTAATTAAATTCCTTTTCCCCTGGCCCATTGCTGGTTTACTAACCAATCTCTGAAATTTTCATTTTGCACACCTTCTATTCTTAGAGACTGTTAAAATGAAATTGGCATGTGATTACCAGTTTTGTTCTAAATATTGGGTGGGTGATATCCTGAAACCATGGATAGAATATCTGCTCCGATGGAGAGTTATGTATGGAGGTGGATGGGTACAAACATTTCTGCAGGCATCTGACATGCCTCTTTACTGGCAAATTGTCAATACCCCACACCTTAATATTATTGAACATTAAGGATGAACCTAAATTTCTTTGCTTTCATGCATATTTCAGGAATGTCATCATATGGTGTAATTACATTGTATGATATATTTCCAATTTGCAATGAAATGCACTCATCCTAAATCATCAATGAATTCTGATGACTGAAAAGAAGTAGGGATGTGATGAAACCAGGGCCAATCCTGATTCCCAATCCCATGCATGGAAATTTTGTTCATGTTGGGGTGAAAATTCAACCCCAAGATGTTTGGATCTCTGTTAGCTTGATTTGAAAACATTATAAATTAAGAATATCTTGTGGTTTTTAATTTATGTTTACTTCCAATACACATTTGTCTGTTAAAATTCAGCAGAATATTGTATTAGACAATCAAATTACTTGAGTTTTGAGCAACTCACTCAGAAGAATTTCTTTGAAGACAAAGGGAAAATTGCTGTTCACCTTTACAACCAAAGGTGCAAATCAACTCTTCAAAAAAAGCTCTGAAAATGGACATGCAACCAGGCAGAGTTAATAGGCCATAAAACCAAATAAAAGAAGATTCTATCTTTCTCTGTCTCATAACAGAATGCAATATCATGCAAAATAATTATTTTTACTATCTACCTGGTAGCCTCTTCTGTGGTTGTCAATCCAGATCCAAATTTATTACGATTATCAGCACAGGAGTGCCTGTCTTCCAGTACTCTGAAGAGAGTAATGAGTTAAAGAAAATATTTCAAAGAGTCTTAAAATTGCCATCATCCCAAAATTCAGATGGAGTTGCAAAAACTTACTCAGCTCTAACAAATTGTTTTTCATTGAGGTCCCAGATGTATCTGATCTTTTGAATTTCAATAAAACGCACCTGTAAGCATCAGTTAAGAGGATAGATATATTTTAAAGGCAGGAATTTAATATTTGAACGGACAATATCAAATACAGGTATTCCCAATTGTTGTAACTAAATTACGACCTTCAGATATGTTGCTGCAGATATACTTTTGACTATATAAGATACATTACTGAAGCAAAAGGAGAATTCTTACTTTTAATTCAGGTTTAATGACAATTCTGTGCAGCAATGACGTCTCATCAGAGAGAACTGAGTGTTGTTGAGCAGCTCTGGCTGCACTACTGGGGAAAGACAACTGAATCCACATCACTTTCTTCTTAGTCCAGATTTTAAATTCATCCTGAGCCAAAAAGGAAAGAAAGAATAATGATTAAAGATATTGTGCACTCAATTTGCTCGCATGTAATAGCGAATTCAAATTACAACAATAGAATTGAGTACAAATTGTTTAAGGCTTGCTCCAACTCACTGGCATGTTTCAAAACATGGGAGAATGTAATGTCAAGCAGGTGACTATCCCACTGTCTATCTCCCTGTCCCAGACCTGTCTAAAATTTTAGGTCAGCACGGAAGGTGTTGGGTGGCTCACCCACCTTAGGCCTATTGAGGTGACCAACATTAAGAACCTCATCTTTCCACTCCTGTTATTTTACCCACAGCAGGCAGGGCCTACACTTGAAAGTCTGAGGGATTCTAAAGGCTCCACATATTGAGTGAAGGGAAAGGAACCACGTTTGGTGACCCTTGCGCTCATCAAAGCATCCCACTT